TGGAGAGGAATCGTTTTGGAGGTGGCTCTGTGATGATTTGGGGTGGGATTTGGTGGTTGTTCAGGGCAATCTTACCGGTGTTGGCTACAGAGATCAGATTCTGAGGCCTGTGGTCATTCCTTTCCTGCAACGTCATGGCCCGGGATTGACATTTCAACAGGACAACGCTCGTCCTCACACGGCTAGGGTCGCAATGGATTTCCTTCACCATAACAATGTCATGTTACTGCCATGGCCTGCAATTTCTCCAGATCTCTCCCCAATAGAGCATGTGTGGGATGAAATGGAGCGCCGTCTGCGTCGTCTTCCACATCCTCCAGATAACGTCCGTGACTTGGCACAGGATTTGAGGAGGATATGGCAGGCCATTCCCCAGGCCTTCCATGCCCATTTGGTGGACTCCATGCGTCGCCGATGCACTGCTGTGATTCACGCACAGGGTGGTCATACCCGTTATTGACTTTGTGACTTTGTCGTTTGACCCCCTACTCCATTTTGATCTTCTGACGTCATCGTAACAGATGTTGTTCTGGTCCCGTTGACATTTTCTTATGGTCCTATCATTCAGCTGCTACAGCGTCTGCATCATTTTGTTCTTGCTGTGTTGTATTTCAATCCAGAATATATTTACTCCGTGCACAGTTTCTTTATGTGGCTAGTATAGTATCCGAATTGTATACATACAAATTTGCACCAATATTTAATGCATCTCATCTAAGGAATGAATCGCTATCTATTCTCTTCAAAAAAAGAAACTTGACACTGACTTTCAAAATGTAATATAATGCGATTCTTTCAAAATAGGACACGGAAACCATAATTGAAACATTGTTTGAAGGTCAATGTACACAATGTTCAAAACAATAAACAGACACACGTACACGATACAGTTAATGTCACAAGGGTACAGAAAATGTCAGTATCGGTTGTGCCCACCACGTGCATCAATCACCGCTTGACCGACGACCCATAGATGCAATCAAGTTGTCAATAACACGATGTTGGATGTGCTGCCATTCATGCTGAAGTGCATCAAGAAGCGCCGGAATTGTTTGGGGCGGTGGATTCCTTCTGCGAACGCGTCGATCCAACTCGTCCCACAGATGCTCAATCGGGTACAAATCTGGTGACCGGGCTGGCCAAGGTAATGTCTGGATGTTGTGCTGTAAGAAGTCCTGACAAACACGTGCAATATGCGGTCGAGCGTTGTCCTGCTGGAACTGTCCGCCATGAACGTTGACGTGAGGAAGAACGTAAGGCTGTAGGATCAAGTCTCTGTAACGCACACCTGTCAACGTATCTGCCACATGCACGAGAGGCATCCTACCACCGTGATGAATTCCGGCCCATACCATGACAATCCCGCCGCCAAATGGGACTACCTGCTGCACAGATTTGGGGGCGTAACGTTCACCCCGACGTCTGTAGACACGTGCGCGCCCATCAGCACGTGTGAGTAGGAAACGGGACTCGTCAGTAAACAGTGCATTTCTCCACCTTGCACGTGCCCATCTAACCCTCAGTTGGCACCAAAGCAGACGGTCTGCCAAATGACGTGGGGTCAATACATGACGTCGAACAGGTCTTCGTGCAAAAAGTCCAGCCTCCCTCAGTCTGTTGCGTACCGTTTGATCTGATATTCTGCGTACCCCAGGGATATGTGTGGTTGTAGACGTGGCCGTGGTAGTGCGGTCTCGGAGGTGTCGCAGCCGGATGTATCGATCTTGTGCTTGGGTTGTCACCCTTGGTCTTCCTGACCTTGGTCTGTCGTCAACACTGTTGGTGTTGTTGTCTCGGGTCCACAGTGCGGAGATTATCTGTCTGGATACACCAAAGTGCCTGGCCACTTCTTGCTGAGTTGCTCCAGCTTGTAATCTCCCAATAGCGTTGTTCCGTTGAGCTGCATTCAGTCTTGGCATTCTGTCACCGCCTCTATGGCCGTTATAAGGACTGTAGGAACAGCCGTTGATGTGGATTTTTATACCCATTCAGCAGGGGGGCCTGCATGCCTATAAATGCAGGATCCTGTGCTGCACGTTTTTTACAGGCGGTTGCGTTTGGATGAAGCTGTAACATTGATCCCCAAACGCTACGTTTATGTGCTTTGCATGTGTTTTCGCGAATTATAGACACATCATCTTTCTATTTGACTTATTTGGTTCTCATTTAATGTAATTATTTTAGATATTTGGCAAAAAGTGGTTTTACATCTATGTGAAGTTTCTTTTTTTGAAGAGTATATATACTACTCAATAGAAGTTTAAGAACACCAAAATAAGTTATCGAAATCACTCAAAAAATATATCGTGGACACAGGAACAACACTGATTAGGAAAGATAAGTATTTCATCATGACATTTCATTGACGAAAGAAATGCTGGCATACAAATGACCAGAGCAAAACAATATGAACTGCATGTACCCTATAAATCAAAAGTCACACACTACAGTTCAGGATAATCCTGTTCCTTCAATATCGGGTATGCCCACCCCTGGAAGCAATACAGTCCTGACATCTTCTGCGCATAGATCGGACAAGCTGCTGCAGTGTTGCCTGTGGAATTGTTTGCCATTCCTGATGAAGAAATCCTAACAGTTGCTGGAGATTAACAGGAGGTGGATGGTTAGCTTGAACAGCTCTTCCCAAGGCATCCCAAAGATGTTCAATGGGCACCCGATCTGGCGAATAAGCAGGCCATTGCATAACGGTAATCTGCCTTTGTGTGTGATAGTCAGTGATAATCCGAGCGCGATGGTGTCTTGCATTGTCGTCCTGAAGGATAGCACCTTGACCAATCTGACGAAGTGTGGGCAATACCAGGGGTTCAAGAATCTCATCACGGTACCTGGCAGCATTCAGATTCCCGACAATATGGTACAGAGGAGTCCTGTGATTCCAACTGAATCCTCCCCATACCATCACTGATCCCCCACCAAAAGCGACACGTTCACACTTTGTTTTCAGTAATTAATAACAGGAAATCTTCAAAGTCCTCTTCATTTGTCTGTTATATCGATGCCATTAAGGCCTTTGACCGTGTTAATCGAGACTGCTTATGGTACAAACTGATGAAGTTAAGAATTAATGGTAACTTTTATTCTGCTGTAAAGTCTTTATATGACAACAGTGTATCCCGTGTATCGGTAAATGATCGGCTTATTGAAGGGTTTGATATACAGAGCTGTGTCAGGCAGGGATGTGTCTTGTCTCCATCACTATTTTCAGTATTCATTAATGACCTGGCCTATGAGATAAACAATCTAAAATGCGGTGTAGTCTCCTCAGTCTTTTGATGTATGCTGATGACATAGCATTAATTGCGCCAAATGAACATTCATTACAATCAATGCTTCACTGTGTTGCTGATTGGTGTAAGAGATGGCGAATTCAAGTTAATACCAGCAAAACTATAGTAGTCCATTATCTGCCACCATCTGTGAAACGAACATCATTTGAGCTTCAGTGTGGCAATGACAACATTGACATATGCTCATCATACAAATATCTTGGTTTATGGCTAGAAGAACGCTTAAATTTGAATTCTACAGCCAAAGAAATCGCCAAATCCACGAGTAGAGCTCTAGGTGTAATCATAAGTAAAATTAAACTATTTGGAGGAATGCCATATGACGTATATAATACGCTATTTAATAATCTTGTTCAACCAATTTTATCATATGGCTCAGTTATTTTTGGCAATCGGGAATTCAGTTGTATAAACGCAGTTCAAAATAAAGCTTGTCGTTTCTTTCTCGGGCTGGGTAAATATACTCCAAATTTAGCTGTCCGGGGCGAGATGGGTTGGCTTGCTCAGCTCACTAAACAGAAAATAGAAGTTTTCCGACTTTGGAGAAAGATAAACTCTGTTCCGCCATCTAGACTTGTTTCACAGATTCGAAATTGGTCTCTTACCTTCTGCAAATCATGGGATAAGACAGTTAATGCAATGTTTATATCACTACAACTTCCATCTATGGATTTGTTTAATTTCTCTATTAGTGAATTCCATCTAATCACACGCACTTTGTGATGTAATGACGTCGATTGTTGGTCACGTGATTTATGGAATGACACTGGTCATGAACATGGGAATAAGTTGAGGACTTTCAGACTCTTTAAGAATACTCTAAATACGTCGACCTATGTCCGCTCTGTTTTAGACAGGCAGCAACGCAGTACCTTGGCAAAACTACGCTGCAGTTCTCTCCCTTTGGAGGTTGAAGTTGGTCGGTACTCCCGTCCAAAGACACCACTACAACTCCGTTTATGTAGGTTATGTGACCGCCAGTGTGTCGAACACGAAGTACATTTCCTCACAGATCTACGATATGACTATTCTCATTTGTTTCCTCCAATACATACTTGTCTAAGAAGTTTAACCCCAGAAGACCAACTTATATATGTTATGCAGAATGATAGTCTAGCTATTCCCCAAGCCGCAGTTGTTACTGCTATGTATAAACGAAGAAAATTTCAACTTGCAATGTAAATAGTGCACTTCTGATCCATAAGTAATTGTTATTCTTCCTTATAGGATTTAACCACGTGTTTATACAAGTCTTAATATATTTAGTTTTAATGGTATTCTTCCTTAAAGGATTCCTCAACAGTTACAAAAGATATTAACAATGGGACATCTTCAAATAAGTACTTATAAAATAGTTCTGTTACCACACGTTTGTATATATTTTGCATTTGTATCTCACTAAACGATGCTAGTATAATCATTTTACATAAAACTGAGTTATTTTTTATCTCTGGTGTCTCATAGGCCAACTGGCTGGGTGGTATATTTTATATTTTGTTATGTACTTTGAATGTATGTTTTTTATACTGCGTGACAGGCAAATAAAATATTATCTTTTTTATCTTATCTTTGACTCCATGAGGAAAACTCTAAAGAAACCGAATTTTACTTGTTGCGAGGTATACAAAATATGAACTGTATTTCTCAGTTTGCAATAATACATGTGTAAAATTAATAAACAAAACTTGCACAGTTTTTTCACATTTTATTGTTTATTGAACATGCATCTACAAGTATGACAAAAATATGGTAATAGATGATATTTCTACTAATTAATGATAAGGAGATAAAGCTACTTTGAAATAAAGTATACTGATAGTATATTTAAGGAAGTACATGTATGTTATAGAAGTTCCAACTTGAAAACAAATATATATTAATATTGGGTGTCATTTGTACAAATCTTGACACACACCATAGACTTATTCAATTTCTGCAATGACAAAATATATTCTGCCGTTAGGAAACCAACACATTAACTGAAATAATTTTCTTTGGTTCATAGATCATTAATTATTATGCAGAAATCATTCTTAGATAAACAGAAGCAATGGATTTCAACCTGCAAAGTATGGAGTATAAATAATTGTACTGGTAAGCAACGAGATTCAGCCTCACCTGTAGAATAATGCCTACATTTGAGAACAGATTTATTTATTTAAGAATAGTTCAAAAACATTGTACCATGGCAGTGTAGCTCACCTAGTTATTATTTTCCAAACTTCATACCCTATTCATAATACATGATTACTATTATGTCAGTAACAGGGTGTAAACGATTTTTAAAAAATGAATGAGCTTTTACACTTGGAGATGGAAGACGTGATTCCAGGCTACCTCGGAAGTGACCTTGACCTGTGGCAGACACAGCACATTAACCAACACAAGTCGCCTCTCCCCTAATCCTACAGAAAGTATATACCTACTGAGACTAATTATTAATGCAGGAGATATGTTTTGAGTGAATGTAACCACAAGCATTTTTGTGACATTTTTCTAACTCGTGAGCTTGAAATTTGACTGTTCCAAAAGAATTTAGAAGGGCCACAGCAGAATAATAACATCTAATGGAAGTAAAAAATCACCAGAATAGGTGCTAGTTAAATTTCTTCACAGGTCTACTAAAATATACATTTACTGATGCAGTCATTATGATGTTCTCACATGATCCATGCGTGCATACCCCCAGGACACTTCCTCTACAAGACATCATATGCACCTTACCCCATGCTCTATCGTATACATAGAGAGCTCTCTACTGTTCCAGATACAACACTAACACCTGGAAATTGCAAAGCATCATACTCAAGCGCATCATTGCTCAAGAGTTTTGACAAGTGATAAAAAAAGGGCCAGGAAGATATCCCTCCAGTTAATCTCCCAAGACAATAAGGATTCTAGAAATCTTTACCTTAATCGACAGACCCCACCAAAGTGGCCTTGTCATTTGAAAATGCTATGATTTTTATGAATTTATTTGAAATTTAAGCTATGTAAGGTAACCTCCAAAGTACTAAAAGGTCACTTAATATTTCATTGCATCAAGGCTACACTTAAAATCATGTACAGTTAGTCTTATTCTAAGATCCAATAGTATGGACATCTCGGTATCACCTGTTGTGAGTCTTATGGAAAAAAGGCTCTACATGCATTGATTATGTGAAAACAATGTGTAAAAATCATCTAAGATAATTGTTTACCTCTTTGGGTTTTACTGCAACCCAACCCAGTTTGACAGAATTCTTTGTTTGTTATAAGTTATAATCAAGGCCCCCATTCCACAAAGTTATCTTAGCACTATGATTGTGGTAAGTCTGTGCTAAAAGTATGGGAGTTATGAACGACTTAGTGATAAGAATGCTTTGTAGGACGGACGTAACATTATCAGGTTGCATTTATCAAAATCATTTGACCTTTGACCTCATTAATACTGAATATTTCAGTTGAAGAAATCATCCATTTTTCATGCTATCTCAAGCACAATCTGTGCCAGTAACCTGTAACCTTGTTCATATTGACTGATGATGTGATTTCATTATTGAATTTGACATGCATTCATTACTATATTACTGGGTCAAATCCAAAATTGGTGGAAATCCATCAAAACTTGATAAAAGGTATTCCCAAGATAAATGTCAATCCTTGTCATGTCATGATCAGTCCAATAGTTTGTGACAAGAAAATTTAAGACGAAGACAGACAAATACATGGTCACCTTACTGAAGCTTATAGCCTAGGCGAGCTTCTTAGCTGATTAGGAAGAAAACAGATGAAATTATGGACTATATTGCATTGATCTGAAGAGTACTACACAGGACCAAGGCCATAATGAATGAATCAGTGCCTCAATACCACACCGCTTCATATCATGCTATGATCCCCAAGTACTTGCAGACAAAGTGAGTGAGTTGGGTTTAACACCGCTTTTAACATTATTCCAGTTATATCATGGCATGTCAGCTTAATGTGGGAGGAAAGCCAGAAGTGATGCAGGTCTCAGACGTTTACCACTTTGGTGAAACCCACGAGCACGGGTATGGTGCTGACAAATTTAGAAACATAATCGGGGCGATCTTGCAGACAAAGAAAATTACTACATATTACAAAACATTCCATGTGAGTCACACCTGTCAACAGATATGTACACAAATGGCTTGAACAGCATGTTTATCTGCCTCCTGCTGCACTTAGTTCACAAATTTGGTTAATGCATTGTGGCCTAAGAGTTAGGGATGCAATAATGCTATAGATAATTCTATCTCTTCTTCAATTACCCATTTCCATTCATGGATCTTACACATCAATACAAAGTTGGATTCCCAGATATACAGAACATAAATGGGTAATATGTTTACACTGTGTCACTGTCCAACAGAATAATAAGTTATAATGTTAAATACAGTTACCAGTATGCTGTGTATATTTGTACAGGAAGTTGTTGATGATATAAGAGTGTTTATAATGACAAAGATCCACCAGTCCATCTTTTCTCTGACTCGCATGATGATACTTAGGTATACCATGGTCTCTTACGCAGCCAACGGATTGTGTATCCTGAGTCAATGCGAATTTTGATAGATGCAGCCTCTGCTGCACGCACAGTTTCTTTGACTGCCTGCATTAAGTTCTGTGCATTTCCAACCAGCATCTCCGTCGCTTCCTGATCTTCTTCAGATCCTGCAAAATCATTAAACAACCTTGTACATCCATATACAGGGCAAATATACTAACATTTCTAAGATATCAAATATAATTATACACATATTCTGTTATGATGTGTTAGTGAAAAAATACTGCATTTATCTGAAAAAGAAAATTGACATCTCTTGAGTTGAATCAAACAATAGTTATTGTTGTTAATAATTCAAAGCATACTACCTCTATTACCATATTTCATAGCCATAAATCATGTATTTTGGCTAATATCACACTACGAAATCTTCAGATTTTCAACAGAAATCATCTTCACTGTTAACTATCTATAATCATTTGTACAGATAATAGTATTCACACTTGTTTAAATCGGGAAAACCTATCTTCTTTCCAATGTCAGCCATCCCCAGATGCAAAATATGGAGGCAGAGGGTGGGAATACTCCTGATTTAATAGAGGAAGTATTCTTTGAATTATTAACAATGATAACTATTGTTTGATAATTCCAACAAATACCATAACTCTATTACATCAAAGTGAGAATTTACCAGAGGGATTGGTGGGTTCAGATATCCAGTTAACAGTTGACTGGAATAAATTAAGAATAACCACAAACTTTGATCACCACCTTAGGTAATTCCTTCATTCCAGGGTTTTTGGGGTACCTGATTGTCTCATATAAATCTTCCTACTTGTTGAAAATTTACAGCTGTACAATATTCTCAATCCCCCAAAATATTTATAGAACTACTGTTAATTTGTATCCTATTCCCTACTTGTGATGTCATCCATCTATCTTAAGATCTTGAGCTATGTGATCTTCCAATTTTGTTTTGCTCTGGGCATCATACCTGTACTATTGATGTCATAACCACCTCTGCTGACGTCACTTACATCACTTCTGGTCACCTTGGCACCATGTTGTGACCTCAATAGCAATAAATTGCCATTAACCTAAGACCTACCCTACAGCCATAGACAATGTGTGATGAAAGGTAACTTACTTTCTCAGGCTGTTGCTGCAGGAAGTCTTCGCCTCCCCAAGTGAAAGTGTTCAGGGACCGCCATGGATAATTCTGAACAAGCTGTCCCACAGACATCATGCGAGACCAGTGGATAAGGACTGGATTTCATGTGACATGAGTGTACCAAACACAGGAGTAGCATAGGACACATAGGACAAAGATGACGTTCATCTAAATCCTTGCTGAGAGCTAGAATCGTTTACTGTTGATGACCAAGTCCTCCTAGAGTTGTAGTCTGTTTTTTTGCTACAAACTCAGGGAGAGTTTTTATGGTAATAGAGCTCCCTTCCAATGAGTGCATAAGACTGGAAAAGTAAATAGCATGCAGTTCCAACACTCAAGATGCTGTGGCAATAGCTGTGAGGAGGACTGTCTTGGGTCTTTTGAAGTAGGGTAACTGTTGACAAAGGTTCAAAGGGAGCCACAACAAAGCCGATGCTACAATTGAGAGGTTCCATTTAGAGAAATTGCATGAGACCTAAACGTCTTCCGATAGGAAAGATCTCTTCAATCTGTTGAGAGTATGATAATCTCTAATTTTAAGCGTGTCAAGTTAGAGAACTGACGTTAGGGTTGTGCCGTGATGCAAGTTGTTATCTTGGTGAAGGTAGAGAAGAACATCAGCCACCTTGGGAATTGTTACAGCTCCCTGATCCTGGTCTTTTGCGTAACTGTAAGAACTTGTTCAATCTGTTGTCATGGTGGATGAAGTAGTTCTCCATGACATGTAACCTTGGCATCGACAAATTCGGAGTGCCCGCTCTTCTGCGTGATAGTTTCCAGGCAGATAGGTTGAGGAAGTTTAGACATCCATATACAATGTCCAATCGATTTGATGCTCCAGGAGCTTGAGGGGATCTTCTAGTAGCAACATCAATACTATGAGACAGAATTGCAGTAATATGGTCGAATTTGCCCTTTTAACAATCAATACGGTACACTAATTTCCATTATTTTTCATTTTAGCTTTTCCAATTAAAACATGCAATTTAAACATACAAAATATGAAATGTGTCATTCTCACTTTTAAATATTCTTGTGGTATTACTAGGACATAAACTATATCTACATCTAACCATAAATAAGTATCAGTCACTATGCATAACTTATTGTCTTCAAATGTCTACATGGATGAAATTACAAATTTAGTTGAACACTTTAAATCTCCTATACCCATCCCTACTTTCCACTGGGACTACATCAAAACACAGAAGGTTTATCTCCTAAGTGTCGACTGCACAGAATTCAGCCAAACCTGGAGTAAGTCATATCCTGAAGTAAATGTCAGAAGTCCCATTCCTCCAGCAATTTGCATGGTTGGGTTGATCCTTAACCTCTGATATCATCAGCAATACCTTGAGAAATAGATCTTCTGGCAGACAAAGGATGCCCCTGTGAAGCAGGAATCAGGCTCCTTTGTCCCTGCTCTACTACAGATAGAATCCTATGGTCTGATGTGACTTGGCTCCAATTCTCAAATCCTGTCCACCCACTGCTCCCAGTGTAGCCTGTGGGCTTAGGCTGAATGGCGGTAGTCTGTAATCCAAGCCCATAGACAAAGCTATAGGTTGAAAGGGTTTACAAGAAAAGATACAGCTTTATGGATGACAACTTCTTGTTTATTGCATTTAGCAGTGTTTCAATGTAGAATCCTACTTCATTCAAGCTGGAGTCACTCCAACTAAGTAATGGGAGGCATATGTTGATGATATGTTGTGACAAGCAGCAGATTAACATTAGTAACAACAGGTAATGGATAACAAGTAGCACACAGATAACTGGGTAGAGACAGATGTACATTAAGAATAACAAATAAAATCATAGGTAATGAAGGATTAAAAAGTTGTAACAAGCTGATTAGAAACTAATTATCGTTTGATCGTTTGATTAGATCTTCATAGGCAGACAGGATGTAATACCCTTCATCTCTGTTGATCAAAGGTTGTGATGGTGGATTTCTATGGCTTCTGAGAGTTTTCGTTTTGTGAAGTGGTGGAGAAGATTTAGACTTCATAAAACTGAATTTGATATCTGGAGAATTTTTGCTGGTGGCCTGTCAGGGCTGATTGCTGTCTGCTTTGGCTGTTGAAGTTTTATGTTCTTCGATGCGGGTAACTACTCGGTTTCCCTAAGGTATGAGTCACCAGTCACAATTATTCTTATAGATCACTCCTTTGGGGTGTTGCATGTTTGAGGGGGGATTATGGCCATTGTCTTTGAGGATGATACTTAGTGACGGGAAGCCAGTGCAGATAGCATTGATGCCTGCTTGATGCTTCAGTAATGTGCTGATTAGATGTGAGTCTTGCCAATGTAGGGTAGGGTGATTCTGATGGTGGAGAATTCTAGTTGGTTTGGGTTGGGGCTGAAGTATATTGGAGATGGCCCTCTTGACTAGCGTGGTAGGATACTGATTGGGGTTGGTGAAGACATGCGGCAGATGATGTTGTTAATGTTAATCTGCTGCTTATTACAACATAAGTATACATATAAACTTCTCATTATTAGGCTGTAGTCACTCCAGCTTCTTAACGGTTTAAGACTCTACATCAAATGGTGGCTAAATGCAATAAATTAGAAGTTGTTATCAATAAAGTTGTGTGTTTTCTTATTTACTTACACATTTCTAGAATGCCAATTAAACATGTAACAAATGTTATATTTGGGATAACACTTTCTTAGTAAAGTACAGATTATAGTACTTATAGACTCAACTGAGAAAGTTTTAAACTAAATATAACATTTGTTACATCTGACCACTTTCTATACACAGTTAAAAAAGTGTTGCACCCCCTATACTTTTTCATGGAGGGGTGTTTTGAAAGGGTGTAAAGATAACCGAATTAATATTATAACCAGGATTTCGTGTATACCAACAAACCAGTGTATTGTCTATACAATGAACTTAAATGGGGTATTCCATGACCTTATGGCATGTAATAATCTCATGCTGAACTTTTACGAAAAATGAACGAACAACGAAGACGCATTAAGTATGGTGACATCTCAATAATTTTTAGTGACCAAATTCATCCAATAGGGTAAGAATGTCATATGGAGATTTGACGAACACAGTAAGTCAATATCGAGAACTTCCACCAAGCACTTGGATCACAGCTTGAAGTCTTCGTCTCATACTCCTCACCAGACGTTGGAATCGCTCCATGGGCAGCTGCTGCCACTCCTCGTGTAATGCTGCTTCCAATTCACGCAAGTTCTGTGGAGGAGGGTCCCGACGATAAATCAGGCGTCCCAAAATGTCCCATACATGTTCCAGAGGATTCAGATCTGGACTCATTGCTGGCCATGGAATCTGCGTCAGAGCATTGTTGTGGATAACCTGGGTCACAGCTCGTGAACGATGTGGTCTGGCATTGTCATCCATGAATATCGGTCTGGTGGCCAGTGGATGATTGTCAAAATGGGGCACCACAACTGGATTCAGCACCTCTTGGATGTAGCGCTCCCCTGTTAAGTTGCCTCGAATGGTCACTAAATCAAGCTTACAATCAAATGAGAAGCATCCCCAAACCATAACAGATCCACCTCCATATGGTACAGTTGGCATGATGTTTCTTGCAGTATAAGCTGTTCCAGGACGCCTCCATACTCTCACTCTGCCATCCACAACATGCAGAAGGAACCTGCTTTCGTCCGACCAGTGGACTCTTCTCCAGGACCTCAAGTTCCAGTTCTGTCTCAGTCTACACCAGGCTAGACGTAGTCGTTTGTGGTTGTCTGTGAGTTTAGGTCGCTTGATAACCCTTCTGGACTTCAACCCTGCAGCTTTAAGACGATTTCTCACGGTCTGGGTACTGAACTGTTGAAGCCAAAGACGTTTCAAGGTTGTGCTTGTAGCAAATGGATGATGCCTTACCACCCTCAACAACGCTCTGTCATCTCTAACTGTGGTCTTACGTGGTCTGCCAGAGGGTCTGCGATTCCTTACATCATTAGTTTGTGCGTGTTTTCTGACCAAACGGCTTATTGTTGAGTAGTGATGTCCGGTTCTTCTGCCAATCTCCTTGAACGAAAGACCTGCTCCATGAAGGCCAATAATCTGCCACTTGACTGCTTCTGACAATCGTCTACCCGGCATTGTGGGTTACAATAAACTGGGCTGTCAGAGAACATCTTTTATAGGCGATGTTGAGCTTAAGAAGATACTGCAATCTGCAAATGTCATGCACCATGCAATTCACGTGCTGATTGCTACGTTTTGGTGATCATCTTCCCTCCGAAAACATTACACATTTAACATCAGATCCCCAAGGAATACCTACCATTAAAACCAGAGTGGGCGTTTTAAATGTTGTGATGTATCAAACGTATTAATGTGGGGGTGCAACACTTTTTTTACTGTGTATATATGGCATTGTGTCTTCATGGCCAATTAAACAGTTAGTCGACAGGGTTTTCTCCAACATTTGGGAGAAGCCTGGTTGCCAGTAATGGTGTTGTCCACTTCCTGCCAGTTTCCCTCCTCTGTGGGACAAGCCACACCAGCTTCCAAGTGGTTTCAAGATGGTGACAACTTGTCCATTTTGTCTCACTTAATTTGTGCTTGTCCTTGCTACATGCCACAAATCTTTCCTTTCAAGAATCCTGACACAGGGCCCTTCTAGTTGAATTAGGATGACTGATTTAAGGTACAGGCACTGGCAGCTAAAGGAATGGTTGAATGGTGGAAGCACATCTTGGAGATGACTCTTGGGAAGCTTGCCATTAAATAAGGCTCACTACGGTCCGTCTGGTCTGTTCTGTCACAGCTCTCATATGAACTTGCAAGGAGAGATAGCTATGTTGCAAGCTGTGCGTTGACATGATAACAATAACTAAGACTCATAACAGTAACTCTTCTTGCATCTTGACAATTCTGTCTAATGACTGTGTATCAAGCCAATCTGGTCAGTACGTAGTTGAACAGGGGTGTCTCTGGTAATTCCATCATATGAATCCTTCAAAGGCGGAATGATGTGACGAACGCATGTCACGAACCAATTTATGTAATTCACGATGTTCATTGCTGGCTGGTTAGTGCCATACATCTCCCTGATCTTCATCAATGGAATAGAAATGTTGAGATTTGGAGCTCAAAACAACTTGTAAAACTCCTTATCGATAGAAGGTGGGTCCGGTAGAGTCATATCATATGTTCAATAAGTTTTCCTCTTCATCGAATGTGGAGGTAATGCCTTGTCACTACGCAGCTTGGCCAATCCCTTGTTGGCCTGTGTAATCAGTGCCGAACCAGAGCAAGGAAGAGTTGTACGCTTACTAACGGAAGATGCCGTCCATGGCAACAAGAGTATTCAATCAGTAGAGATGCAACCTCTTCTTGTCCAGTAGGCGGCAAATGAGGCACAAGATCATTGAGTTCCTGTATCAGGTCTTAGGCCTGGCTCGTAATCCACCACTGGAGGTGATGATTGTGAATCCACCATCATCAATTAAGTACTATTGTCACAATCTGTCCGATATCTGGAGCTGAGGCATGTAAAGAAGATTGATCATTGTTCCCTCATCCCGGATTGGGCCTGGTAAGCCATGGGCCTCATAACTACTGACACATAGCAAAAGCAATTTAGATTTTAAAGTGTGAAGAAGCCAAAAATAACTGTGCTGAGACACCTACGTATATATGTGTTGACTATTGCACACACAGGAAAGAAGTGAACTTTTCTTGCTTTGCAAATGCATGACTGCTTCTGAAAGCAAGACACTATTTTCTACAGAACTGATTATGGATAGTTGATAGTGACTATGACGTCAGTTGAAAATAAGAAGATTTCATGGTATGTTAGACAAAATACAGAATTTATGGCTACGGTGTAATAATAGGAGTATGGTATTTGTAGGAATTATAACACTATATCTTGTGACCTTAACCTTTGATCTTTTCATCATGTGCCAAAAGAATTTTCGAAAGACATTTGAAAAAAGTCTGTGGAAGAAGTCTCTATTTTCAATAAACTTTTTGTTGTTGTCATTAGAAAGATCAGTGGTGGCAATTACAATCAAGTTCCAACAAAAGCAAAAAGCAGTTATATTACAATAGACAACATATGGTGCTGTATGTTGTCAAATGAACAACCGTCCTTGATGAGGGCAAGCACAGTGGCAGGCTTATCTCAACGGTACTGAATTACAGGTGGGCATTTCCGAAGGCTTGTTGCAACTTCTCAGATGGATATTCCATCCTGCAGACAACTATTGCACGATCCCTATACTGTTGACTTATGCAGTACAAATCTTTGCCCCTTGCACTTCTGGTTTAAAATTGTGGAATCATGTTCCAAAATTATTAATTTGAACACATCAGGGCAAGGAGACTTTTGGACCCTTTATTGTGGCCCCTTTGAGACTAGAACATGCACCAACAAAAGCAAGGAACATAAGAACACCCTTAGGGACATGGAACAGATCATAAATGTATCCAGGTCCTCACACGTCACATGCAGCTAAGGATGGCAAGCAAGGTAATACACCATGTAACAGAAATACCTAGCGCAATCAGACCACGAGAAAGATTGATAACCAACCATACACCAACACACAAATGGAGTGACACTTCACAGACCGACATAATTAATTAATACAAACACATGAGTTAATTACATTATGTGTTGATCACCTGCAATGAATATCTGTATAATGCTGTTTCCTATAATGCTGGGTTGGGATGCAGCTCCAGTCTAGCTGTTGAGCCAAGTCTTTCACAATTTTTCACCCATTGTTTTTCCTATTCTAATTCAGTTCTACCATATTTGTATTTGTTCACGTATCACATACGTATTTTTTACATTCATTTGTTTCACATATATAGAAAATGCTGCTAAACGTACATAGTAGGGGTGACTATTGAGGCATTTTTGACTATTGCGATAATATTGCGATAGTTAAAACAACTATTGCGATACTATTGCGATAGTGGCCCTACTATTGCGATACTATTGTGATAGTTTTCACTTGCAATTATAGCAGGCTTTAGCAGCATATATTTCAGCATTTTGACTGACACCATCAAAATAATTATTACTTTCTAATACTATTTGTAAAGAAAACAAGAAATGAAAAGAAAACAAGTTCAAATTGACCTCTCAAAAACATTTTAATACAAAATTTCACTTCATGTAACTGGTAAAGTCTTAGGTTACTGCAGTGTTTTAGCACCAATGTGAATGAATGTGATTGAATGACTAGTATTTGATCCCCCTTTTTCACGTGGACGAATATCTGGGTGCGGTCTTGTCAAGTGGTCGGTCAGATTAGTAGTATTTCCTGAATACTTTAGAATTATCCGACAGATTCTCAAACTTACTTTTGCTTGTCTGTCTCGTTTGGCATTTTGACAAAGCCGAAATAGTCCCATACCCACGATTTGCCTGCCTTATTGGCGACAATTTCAAACTGACATGTGGCGTCCGCCATCTTGTCAATGTTGCCTAGCGACGAGTAGCTAAGGGACGTAACTCTAAATCAAGCAGACAAAGTAGTGCAATCCAAACGAAAGCACGACAGAGGTTAGATGATCATAGGAGTTGTTTCTATGTTTTTTAAGAAAGTAAATGTACCAAACAAATTAACTATCGAAACTATCATAGCTGGTGTGATACCAATATTTTGTGTTACCATTTTTTTCATGCTTTTATTTTTGTGGATTCTTTCTTTCTCTTCTCTGCCTTTGCGTAGTGGTGTTTTTAGAATTTAAGGTCAGTCTTGGTCTGTGTTGTATTTTTCACCTCAACAACTTGGTAACCGTTCTCAGTAAATACAACTTTAACCATCACACAAGTGAAAGTACCATGCTGAAAGCAGGAATACGGTGAGCAATGTTCAAAGACAACATAGCTGGGACCATTCATACAAAAGTTTAAAGCTTCATCGACCTTGTAGTTTCCACAAAGTTAATGACTGACCAGAGAATGACTTGACTTTTAGCCCTGTGGTTTCAGAGGAGTATGTAATGTAAAACCATTGGAAAATGTAAAAGACGACAAAGCGCCATGACATAAGCTCACTCAACAGTCAGTAAGGTGAGCTAAAAGTCAAATTTAAGGTGTTGGTCTCAACCTTGTGTATATATACTTTCACAAGATACATGCATAAAAAAGTGAGCACATATATCCATTTCAAAATGGTGGTCATTTTTTAATTAGATCAGAATTTTGTGGGAATGTCTGGGTTTATTCATGCCAACTTCAGCTTCATAGGCACCTATTTGATAGGAAATTTAACACAATTAATAGCATACAGCAGATCGATGGAAGAACGAACGGATGACAGGCCATGACTTACCTTCACTTGAACTTTATACTCCATAACCATGCAAACTAGGCCACATGATCAAGCTGTGTGCATGCTTAACTAATCTCAAACACACAGCAAAACCAATCGTCCACAACTACCTTGTTGGACCTGCATGTCAAGGCCAGCCAGAGTGGTAGGGGCTGTTACAGACAGATTAAGTCACACAAATTATATACACAACAAAACGCAGATGGATCAAAGACCCTCAAATTAGAAATCCTTTTGTACTTGTGCTCAACTGTGGGTATGTGCATGTGTCACTTCTGACTGGGAACTCTGGTGCTCATTGTTAATGACATGGACCAGTAATTAAAGACATGCTACCAATATTTCATATGGCAGACTTTGTAAAGATACATATCATAACTATGTATGTAGTTAACCTAAAGTTCCATGCCTGTAGAAGTAACCAGGCCTGAGAAACTACCGGTATTGACATGTTTTACAAAAACCTGAATGGTGACCTTGACCTTGGGACATATTTTGACCAAACCTTTCCTAGGCAATTCCACATTTTATAGCATGTATACACTGAGCCTTATGATAAATGCATTAATATCCTTTTGAGAAAGTGTATCCACAAACATTTTAGCAACATTTCTCTATATCATGACATTGACTGTCTCATTGCACATGCGAATAGAATTTACAACAATCTTGTGAAATAAGTCCATTGTAGATATCCTCCGTCAATAACCTTTGCACCATATTAAAATAAGTGAGTTAGTGAGTGTATTGCTACTTTTAACAGTATTCCAGTCATATCAAGGTTTGTCAGCTTAATGTGGAAGGAAGGCCATAATAAAGAGGATGAATGATACAGGTACAATCCAGTCCCATTAATCCTACATGGATGGTTGCATATGATTATGTGGGATTAATGAGAATGTCAGATAAACAAAATAAAGTAGCATCAACATTGGACAATTACACGATAGATAACGATACCAAAAAAAATGAAAAATGAAATATTCATATTGTTATGTTACATTGTTAGAGGAATATGTTTTCTAATCATGCAACCTCCAAAGCTTAACATAAAACTACTGTTACATGCTGTATGACTGATTCTAAATACTTTAAAAAGCATAGTCTGGAATGGAAGTCACCAGTTTTTATATTTCACAATTATCTCAAAAGGTGACATTGATGTGTTTAAAGCCTAATTTTGTTCTCCTTTTCATCAATGAATAGCTCAACAAATTTAGCAACACCGTGTTCTGATGGCATTTAACTTCACCTGGAAACTACAAAGTTATTTCTTCTTTTATTTGCAGATGATATGTTACCGTAAGTGTGGGGTTTATGTGATACCCTTTTCCCCTCGGCAACTGTTCTTATCAACAATTCCTTGGACCCGGGGATGACGTAGCTCTCTCAAAGTACAAGTCAGTTTGGTTTCTCAAAGTCCATTTATTGGAGACGGAATTCTTGAATATCACACAAGAGGTCCTCAGAGGTGTTTCTGTTGCCTTACTTGTTTATAAACAATGTATATCTAGGGATGATATAGAAGAGTCTGATATACCTTCTTAACATCTCTTAACCCTAACACATTTCTGATCCAGACATCTAATATACCAAGAACCTCTCTGGTTAGACATGAGTCTCTGAATCCCCACACTACTCTCGGACAACTCATTAAATACTATCGATGGTAATTTCAGCTCCTACCACTGAAATAATGTTTAACATCATGTGAAGTGAGTCATAACACTTATCTCAATTATAGCTAATTTCCATTCCCTCAAACGGTGGACTCAGTTTGTGCTATAAAACTCTTCTTGTCTAAAACAAATCAGTGAACTACCCAAGTTCATCGGTCACATGGACCCATGATGAAAAAGGAATACCACACTAGTTTAGTAAGCCCCAGAAAACTCCCAACAGACCTGTGTGTTTCTACAGTGCCTGGTCACGTCAAACTGACATCTTTCATTTGCTATCTCTTGCAGTTAGACCCAATCTTGCTACTTTTCTTTTAACACATGAATAAATATTTCTACCGTAGAGAGACACAGAAGCAATCAATGGTATGTCTCACAGGTCGATGGTTTTTCCCAGAACAATCAACCTGCTCGTCTCCATTTACCTCTTTACATATTTACCCTAGATCTTGGTAGAATTTCAGAAACACCATTTTAAGTTTATACCAAACCCTTTCTCCAAAGTACCCTGGTCATAGATATACATTTGAATATTTCATATTTATTTTTTCATTACGTGTTTGTATCGTTATCTATCGTGTAGTTGTCCGATTTGTTCACGAACGTTGATACTGCTTAATTTCGTTTATCTGACATACTTGTTAATCCGACATAATCATATGCAACCAACCATGTCGGATAAATGGGACTTGACTAGTAATGTTTTCAAACAAAATAACTGGACTACAAAAGCTAATTATTCAGTTGGAATGTTATTGCAAACAATGGAATTTGTCTATAAACATGAATAAGACAAAAGTTATATATTGTCGCTAAATATGGTGGTACATTAGCTAAAAGAGGGAAATAGTTTATCAAGGGCATTCATTAGATGTTGTATCAGTCTAAAAGTACTTTGGTGTTTATTTTACAAACAGATTATCATGGGAGATGCATTCAAACAAAGCTACAAAGATCTGAACTGTTATTCTTCAAAATATGAAACTTCTTGGTAATAAACACGATAGTACATTCTTCAAGATTTTTTATACAAAATTATGTCCAATCTTGTCATATGTACTCGAGGTTAAGAAATGTTTGATGTCATAAAAGAGAGGACATTTACATTCATGAAAAAAGATTCCTTAGCGTGAAACCTAGTACATCCAATGTAATGGTTTACAGAGAATGGGGACAATACCCATTAACTATATTTGCAAAGAATAGACAATAAAATACTAGATCAAATTAGTAAAAATGCCTGTACCAAGATCTAGAGCCATGTTGTAATATGCTGTTACTCAATAATCAACAAGAGTAGAGTAAGTGGGCATCATCTTTTAAACATCAGCTTTATTTAAGTGGTAATGTTAATATATGGACAGAACAGAATACAGGTATACCAGATAATTTCACAGATGCTTATACTCAGACTTGGAAGATATGTACATTTAAACCGCATTGTTCACTATCATCACACAATAAATTATCAAGTTTTTCCCTCATTAAAAACAGTTCATATAGAATGCAATTTTTATTCAATGGAATACTATAGTACTTCGTACAGCACTTGAAGATGCACATGTATGAGGGGCATTCAATAAGTTTTGCAACTTGGGCATTTGTGTTTACACAAACAATGTTATTTTGTGGCAGGTGTGACACTAGTCATAACATCAGGTTGACACATGTCAAAACAAGTTCCAGACACAACAATAAGTTAGATGTGATGGCTTCATTCACCTAAGGGTGGTCACAATCATGGATTAAAGTTGTAATAAAGTTCCTTACCAAGGAGGGATGCAAAGCAAAAGAAATCCATGATGGCATGTGTACAGTGATGGGTAAGGATGCTCCTGACTATTCCACAGTTAGGAGTCCATAGACGATGACCCAAGGTCAGGCAGACCTTCAGTTGCCACCCAACCGGAGACCATTGCTGCTATAGAAAGAAGAATTTTGTCTGACTGACGAGTGAAAGTGTCTGAACTTTCAAGGGAATTCCAAATATCAGTTGGAACTGTTGAACCATTATTCATGAGCATCTTGGTATGTCAAAGGTATCTGCAAGATTGGTACCTTGAAACCTCAGAGCTCAAGATCGCCATCAGAGAACTGAAAGTTGTCGCAACCTCCTGTATCTCTATACTGCGGATGAAGCCGGATTTCTTTCTCACCTAGTGACAGGTGATGAAATAATGGATCCACCAATGGGACCCAGAAACCGCCACAGAGGTGTGGCTAGAGGGCCAATCTGCGGATTTCTATAAAAGTGGTATTAAAAGCTTGAAGGACAAATGGAATAAGTGTATTGAGGTGAATGGAGATTATATTGAAATGTAAAAGTGCAAAATATATTCTGCGACTTGGTCTTATATTGAAGTTGCAAAACTTATTGAACGCCCCTCTTAACTTACACAAACTCTTTATCGAGACAGGAACTTATATGGCAATCTTAAGAGAACACAGAATTTGTGAGTTTGGTGATTTGAACTCTGCAGAAAATAAATCTCATTTCTTACTAAGAGAAAGGAAGGACTTGGTGTAACATGACAATCAACAGAACATGTTGGCTGAGTATTGTAAGGGTGGCAACAACCTAGAAAGACGACAGGGGTGTGTAGAAAAAAAATGAACGTCTAAGCTCACTTGATCAATGATATGTCAAACATTTGTCTCCTGATCATGACTGAAATCAGCAGGTGAGGTTAAGGAGGGTGATCCAGTGTACAATGCTGGCAGATTATCATCGCAGGGATCATTTGGCATGGTGTATGGTGGGACATAGTTGGAACCTAAGGTTGGTTGTTTGGTTGGTTGGTTGGTGGGTTTGTTGTTTAACGCTGCACTCAGCAGTATTCGAGCTTTATTACACCGGTCTGTAAATAATCGTGTCTGGACCAGACAATCAAGTGAATAATGTCATGATCATCGATACACGCAATTGGGATTGATGACAAAGTCAGAGAGCCTGATCACCCGATCCTTTTAGCCGCCTCTTATGACAAGCATAGTCGCCTTTTATGGCAAGCATGGGTTGCTGAAGACCTATTCTACCCTGGATCTACACGGGTCTGGAACTTGAGTGAGTGAGTGAGTGAGTGAGTGAGTGAGTGAGTGAGTGAGTGAGTGAGTGAGGTTTAACGCCGCTTTTAACCCACGAGCACAGGTATTCTGGAACCTGAGGACAGGGTAGGATGACCAGTTTCCTGTTGCAAGTCACAGATGGGCATATTCCGGTCTGGCAGCAAAGAAACATGGCATACACGCCCAGTAACATTCATCCAACAATACGTTGGTGGTGACATGACATGGGGTTGCCTGTCCAATGACTGGACTTGGTCACAGTGCAGGGTAATCTGACAGGTGACAGGTACAGGTGTCACATCCTTGATCCAATCATTTTACAACATTTTGATAACCACCTACTGACTGCCAGACCCATTTACATGGACGACAGACATCCTCCAGCCAAATGCAATCACAACTACCGC